GTTGTGCAGAATCAACTCAGTAAATCTAAAAGAAAACAAGGCATGGTAACACCTTGTCACCTTGTTACCAAGCTTTCCTCCCTGCCTCTGGGCTCAGTATACACTTTGCAGAAAATATGAATCCTGACATCTTTCTTTTAAAACCTACAGTACCCATTATTATCCTTTATTAATTGCATGGTCTTGTTTTGATAATTTCTCATTCCTAGTATTTTTTAGGAAAAAAAACGTTTTTAATCTTCCGTAACTGAAAAAAAAAATTGCTGAAACAGACTGTTTTGTTCACACAGAGCCACTTATGACTGGAAAGAGGAGAGAAATGTGTGCAAACAGTGCCCTCTTGTGGGTAAACTGGTTAAATCATGTGTAGAAGAGAATCAATCAAAGTCAATATAAAACAAGTGGACTCTCGCTTGGTAGAAAGTTAGGTTTTTATAAATCAGAGGCGTTCAAGTGCGGCCCCAGGGCCCCTGTTTGGCCTTTGAAATCATGCGGCTGTGACCAAATTTTCAAAATGGTACAAATCCAGGTCAGCAGCCCAGTTAATTGTCTTTATTAGGCTCAAACAAATTAGACTGAAATCTTCACTGATAATAAAAAATGGAAGATGTAAATTGATTGAGTAAATTAATATTGCCTATACAGAAACCAGGCTGCTACATTTAATTAAAATGTTTTTTACTTTCACATTTCTTTCCCCAAAAATAGAGATTCCTTTTTTGTCTCTGATTTTATGTTTTGAAATCACAGCTGTAAATAGATACGATATTTCTGTTTACTTCCATTATTGTGGAAAAAACACATTGTCTTGCTTCTTTTTCACACCTCTTATAACTTTTACAAAATTCACCTTTAGAACTGTAGATGAACACAAAGTGGAAGATACTTTATAAGTTAAAAATAATGTTTTGCAGAATCTCCTTTTGCTGCAATTGGACCTGCAAGTCTTTCAGAGTAGAAATCTGCCCACTTTGCAAGAGGGACTGAGTTTTTTCCCCTTTTGGGATTTTGTCACAGTATATAGTTAAAATCAAAGCTATGGGAGCTTATTTTTTGTTGTTGCAAATTAGTGTAAAACTCTTGTCTCTACAAAAGTTGTTTACTTTCCAGGATGCCTCATGTGTCTTATAGTCTACTATATGTGCAGAGAGTAAGAAGATGAAAATAGGACAGAAAAAACAATTTCTTATAAAAATGCAGAAAATACTTATTTCATAAAAAAAATAAATAAATAAACTTTAGTAAGGGAAGTCCATAGCCTCTACTTTTGGTCCTACTCAGCTACTTGCAGCTAATGCTAAATCCATATTTATCTAAACTTAGTCATTTCTTAGCTGGCCAGATTTATTGGACAATGTTAAGTTTTAGTTCACCAAAGCATAATACTAAGGCAACATCAATGCAACCTGCAACATTATTGGTTAGCTTGCTAATTAGGTGCTACAGTCAAATGTCTTTACAGGTTTGCAGTACACTAATATTCGTACATCAGTGCCTGGTTTTGTCTCAGTATCGGGTTAGGTGGCAGTGAATTAAATGCTAGCAAAATCATAAATTCATGAGAACATACTGAATTTAAGTACTATCTCTGACTAAGCTCCTCTAACAGATGATCCCATTGTAGCTCTGGCTGGTTGTTCAGGGTTGCTTTCCTGCTGGAGGATGAACTGTAACCCAGTCTCATTTTATCACGTCCATCCAACTCCACTCTAAATGGCTCTCGGTCGCTGCAAAAGAAAAGCAGCCCCACAGCATCATACTGCCACTACAACATTTGGCTGTGGGATGCTCTAAGGTTTGATGTGTTCTACTAGTTATTTTTCTGCACATACTCTAAAAGAATGTTTTAGTCTCTTCTGAGGTGAGAAATTTCCTTCACATCCACATAGCTTGTGGCAAGCTGAAAAAAAGACTTCCTATGGCTTTCCTTAAACAATGCATTCCCTCTTACCTCTGTTCAATAAGGGCCAAATGTTTTGCACTCCAGTTATTAGAACCGATGATCCATCTAGATCTTTGTCCAGGATTACTGAGAGCCTCTTGGCTGTTTCTCAGATACTGCAGGTATGCAGTTGTAAAATACTGAGCTACTGTTTTGCTTCCATCTGTGTCTGCTGTTTTTCCTTGCTCTTCACGATGCTCACCTATTTTCTGTAGCAAAAATACCCTTATATCTTTTAGACCTATTTCTTATATCTTATTAAGTCTTAAATGGATTAGCTCCTCCTTATCTTAGAGACCTTTTAAAATTCCAGTCTGTGTCGAGAAGTCTACGCTCTAATAATCAACTATTACTGACAGTTCCTTGGACTCGACTTAAGAGGAAAGGAGATCGGGCCTTCTCTGTTGTTGCTCCAATTCTGTGGAAACATTTACCTCTTCAAATTAAATCCGCCCACAGCCTGGGTCATTTTAAATCGCTTCTTAAAACTTATTTTTATTCTTCAGCTTTTAATTGAAGCAGTGTTTCACATTCTGTTTTTTAATTGATGTTGTTGTCTTTCCTGTAAAGCACTTTGATGCAGTTTTATACCTGTTTTTAAAGTGCTGTATAAGTAAATTTGACAATGACATTTATTCTGAGACATAAAAACAAAGATGGTGTTTTGATTTAAATCAGTAGTAAAAAAGTAAAATGGGCTGGAAGCAGATTCATACCACATTCTTTGGGTTTTTAGTTGCAACAAAAAGTACGATGGAAAGTATTTTCCATAGTTTGTAAAGGTTTCTTATTCTAAAGGTCAGTTTTGATTAAAGGAAACAGGAAACAACAGAGGACAAAGGAAGAGAGCGGTGCCTCTCGCCTTCATCTCTGTACATGAGAACGTCAAACACTCCTTTTATTATAAAACTGTCAGCTGATCAGCCGGCGTGTGATCACGTCATAGATGACGGAGCGCAGTGAGGTCTAATGATGGGATGTCACTGAAGAGGCTCAGACGCTGCTGCTGGTGGGAGAAAATGAACAGGACACGGCTTGTTTGCAAAAGGAACATAAACTCATTATGGTTTTACAATGAAAGGTAACAGGAACACTTGCCAAGCCGGATTAATTGTTTAACAGCACCAATCCCATACAACTAGCTTTAGCCTCCAAGTATTCACAGCGTAAACTGGGCTTCTTTTGAACTAATTTGCAATCAGTGATTGATTTTAGTTAATTCAAAGAAATAAAAAAAACAATGTTTAATGTATTATATTTATTATCTTGAAAAGGCTTTGCAGTGGTTCTTAAAAGTATTCACACTCTATTATTCAAACTATTCACAAAAATTATCAAATTAACTAAGTGTTCAGGGTACACATAGGAAATAAATTACAGCGAATGTATTAACTTAAAATATATATAAACATATCAGCAATAGTTTTCTAAAATTCTCTTATTTTAACAGTTTAACTCAAATTCTGGCTTGCACCTTCAAAAGGCTTAAAGGGATAGTTAATATTTTATATATTTTTAATAAATACCCTTTATTAATAATTAGCAGATTCATTTATAAACTGCATCTAAACCATTTATAAAAAGTAAATAGATCATTTGTTAAGGTATGAACTCCACTAATGTTAAGGTTAGGGCTAAACTAACATGGCAGGGCAATATTATCAATTTACCTTGTAGAGATGGTTTAAATGCAGTTTATAAATGAATATCAAACATTACTAAACTGTTAATCACTGATAAATTGTCTCTTTAGCATTTATAAATGATTGCTATTGTAAAGTGTTACCAAGAGATCTTATAGGTCAAAAATATTCTGGCATTTCCACAGTATTTTATACATATTCCTTAACCCTGTAATGCCAAATCTATCATATTTGATACATACGGTTTCTGAAATGTTTTGCGTCTGACACCTTTTGCATAATTTAATGGTAAAAACTTTGCTCAAAATCCTATTGTAGACAATCAGATATACCTGATAACAGCCAGTAGAAGACTACACAAAAAATAATCTTGACTTATCGCATAGTAATAAATTATTAATATCAAAAATGTATTTCTGTTTTTTCTTTTTACATATTTTGTTAAAAGGGCAAATAAGGACTTCAAACCCAAAAAAAAGTAAATTTCTGTTCTGTTTTATTCTTGGATCGGGCTTTATAGGGATAAAGATAATTATCATGAAGTGAAAAAATATGGGAAGTATGGAAGGAACAGAAGTTGTGTTTCTCCAAAAAGGGTAAATAGACAAAACAAACTTTGTTTTAGTTGAAGTAGAGAAAATTAGAAACAACTCAGAGTGCTGCTAAGTTGATAATGTACCTAAGACCGTATTCAGACTATAAACATTACAGTAAGTTCAAGTTGACATCCAGATCTACAATAGAAAGGATTCACCAGAAGAAAAAAAATCAAGTTCTGAACTGGCTAATCCATGCAGAACTGATAGTGACTGAATGTGTAGAGTCATCTGAAGAATACAGAAAATTTATTTAAGATTTTAACATAAATTCTAAGACTATGCATCAAGTTAGAAGTGAAACATTTTGTTCACAGTTGTGTTATTTTACATCACCAAACCCAAGATCTTAATAGGGTCATGCACATTAGTATTAGCTTAATTGGACGTTTTCAGCAACAAGGAGAAATTTTCAGCCTCACCTGCGACTCACAGTATTTCAGTGAGTTGGTTTGATTCTGTACATATTTACATTTACTGAAATGCTGATGTTCTGATCCAGTGGTTTAAATTTGTTTGGATAACTTAAAATAAAAAACTAGAATCTATAGAATCAGTCCATGTCTCTTCATTTTGAAATTCACTCACCTGAATCCCTGTTCAGACATTTTTTATGATGCTCTTTTTAACACTTACCTTGAAACAGCAGCCCTCTCTGTGTGGTAACCACAGCCCAGAGGTGGAAGCTTGGTGCGACGTCTGTTCCGGCGTGGGAATTGCGACACCTTTCCTGCATTGAAAAGCAGGTGAGAAGCTGCAGGCGCCTACATAAGGAGGCTTCCTGCACCCCAGCGGCACAGCACTGACAGCAAGGCTGCCGTTTGGAGCCTTGGACCATCATCAACCCAACGACCGATTTCCTATATTGAGATTTGGTTTTGTTTGTTAAAGTTTTATTTAATTCAAAAGTTTTAAGTGATATTTTTCTATTTTAATCGCCTCATTAACTCTTCAAACAATGAATGCTTGCCAGACCATAGCTTTCCTCAGCAGCCTGGTCATTATGTCCACCTGGACAGCTTCAGCTCTTATGTTTCCCTACAGTATTCGTCTGAGGGAGTCCAAAGATGAATTTGAATCTTCAGGTGCTGAGGTTGACCAAGCTATCCAGGGAGTAGTGAAGGTTGTCCAGCTGGACCCTCGTAACCTAGTGAATTCAGGGTTCTTCAGGAGAGGCTTTGCTCACAGGGGAACTCCTTCCCATGCTTCCAGATCGCCCTTCCCTGCCTTTCTGTCTCGGGGGCGTCCTGGTCCTGCCAAAGCCCTCAAGGAAGCTGTAAGTCCACTACACCAACTGCGTCCTAAAAGGCCTTTGGAGACAGATCTGAAGAAGAAACAAGGATTGCAGATGTGGCAGAGGGTCATGAATAAAGGAGGGAAGGTGTCGCTGCCTGTTAACCTGAACGATCCGAAGCAGACCTGCACTGCGGTGCCTTTTACTCAGGTAAGAAGCACTTTTTTTTAAAATAACACTTTCAATGGTCTGCTCTTGTATTTTGTTTTCCATATAAGGTACTTAAAAAAATAGTTATCTTCATTATATAGATTACTTTGGCTTGCAGCTGAAGAACACCCTGAATTCAGTTACAGTATTAGAAATTATAAAGTGAAATTTGGTCTGCAGACAAGTAATACACCCTATAAAAGCAACAGAAGCCACAAAAATGACTACTAAATTTGTAGGCTGTCCACATGGGGCTGCATAGAGCAGAGCTAATTCTGTCTTATTCAGACTTTCTGCATCAAAAAACATTTTTTTCCATTACTAAAAAAAAGAGCATTAAAAAAAAGTAGTTTCCCCATAAGATAATCCTAATATTAAAACAAAACTGCTGATAGATGATGAAACCTGATTAGATTCAGTTTTATTGATGCAGGGATCGTCTAAAGCAGGAGAGGGTTAGAAATTGTTATAGGTTTTATTTAACTACCATGTGTTGTGTGACAAATGTTAATCTTTCATAAAACATCTTTTTACGCTCCTTAAGAAGGAACAGAAACATTAAACCTAATCAATCTCACTTACAAAAACAAATGACCGTATTTACATTTCTTTATATAGTTTTTCTACCTTAGAATTCTTAAATTGTAATATGTATATATATATATATATATATATATATATATATATATATATATATATATATATATATATATATATATATATATATATATATATATATCATGTTGGCTGCTAAGTCATTTAAATGTGCATTTAGTTTTCTTACAACATTTTTTTTTACTGGATGAATAAATCAGAATGATATTTCTTCTGTTTGTTTTTGCTTTTTTAGACCTGTGCTTCCAAAAAAGTAATGCTGATCTATCTTTTTTTTTTACTTTTTGAGAGTAAGGAACATTTTAAAACCACCACAAACCTTTAAACCACACGTTTCTGATGCTGTTTTAGTCAGATCAAATACTATTATCAAATAAATCTATGTTATTGATCATGATAATCAGTAGTCAAATCAAACATAGTGTATTCAGACATTTCAAATTAAACAAGTGCCGCTGTAACCCTTTTGTTTCCCCTAAAGCGCAGTTTTTGTTTGATTGATTGATTGATTGACCTTGAGGACTACATGATTATTTCCCTTAATCAACCACCCACTCCAAAAAACAACAACAAAAAAATAAACCAAAAAACTTCAACACAGGAGCAACCTTCCTTCTTCTAAACAAAGGGCTAAGAGGTAAAAGTTAGTAAGAAGGGGTAAAATGTTATTCACCCTATATCTATAGCGAATGTACTCAAGTAAAAATATGGTAGAATTAAGTTAACCAACACGACTGAAATCAAAATGACCACAGACAGATTGCTGTTTCTTAAGGAAAGGGCTGTTAGCATTACAAAATTTAAATGTGTGGCAAAAGTCAAAAACTTAGGTGCAAAATTATAGATGAAAAGTTAAGTGGAGGAAAAAAATGTGGAGGATTTTCTTTTTCAGAAACAACAGGAAAAGCTGCAGCTTGAAGAGGATTAAGTAACTGAATCTGGGTCTCTATAAATCATTGGAAATAAAGAAATAAAACTATGTAAATAAATGGATCTATCTGATGTGGCAGAGCCTGTGAATTAAAACAATCCAAACATAAGTTTTAATGTTTGAATATAAATAACCTTGATTATTCATATGAGCCTGGATCCAAAGGCTTTCATTTTAAATCTTTATGCAGAAACAAATACTTTGAGATGAAGAGTCACCTTTTCAGCAGTGTGTGTTTTATTAATAAAGCCTGTGCTGTGTTTATCTCTGTCCTCTGCCCAGCATGTGACGGCAGATGGTTGCCAAACAGTGACAGTTCACAACAAGCTGTGCTTCGGCCAGTGCAGCTCCCTCTTTGTCCCATCCGAGGGGGAGTTTGCTGATCTGAGCCCCGGTACGGGGGCCTTCCGCCGACGGGCCCCCTGCTCCCGCTGTGCCCCTTTCAAAGCTCAGACTGTCACTGTGCCTCTGCGCTGCGGAGCCAAAGTCCGGGAGAAGAGAGTGCTGCTGGTGGAGGAGTGCAAATGTGAGACGGGCCGGGAAGAGAGAAGCACTGAAGCTGCTGCTAACACTCACCTGTAACTGGGTCCCAGCTATCAAACAGACAATATACTGATCCCTGGTTTTACTGATAATGACACCAGATAACTGTTGTTCATGTGGGGTTTGTATTTCATCAACTGTGAATCAAAACCTGTGATATTTAGGTTCACATTTTATGTGAAGCTACGTGTTTTCTTTAGAAAAGTCTGAATGTCTTATTCAGAGTGAAATGTTTTGATGTTGACAAATGGCCTACTTTGGTCATGCAGTTTTTGTTTTAAAATGAATAAGATGTTTAAATGAGGTATGAACAGTATTATAAGCTTTAGTAATAACAAGATGGCCGTATACTTATATATGTTTTATGTTTAAAAGAAAAGGAACAATATTCTAAGTTATGCACATTTTTTCAATTGGTTTTGTAAAGAACAAAATATGCAATCAACTTCAAAAGTAATCAAATAATCTTATTAAAGATCTAGGCAGAGAACAGCATTCAGCTTTTTCCCATGATCTGCCCAAGCTTCTCAGCAATGATTGATAGATTGTCCCTCTATGTATTTTTTCAACAGAAATCCCTTTGTGAAGCTATAGTATAGCCAAAGGTGTCCTCCAGGGATCAGTGCTTGAGAAGCTTTTATTCCATTTATGTCTCAAATTATCCTAACCAACTTCTACCATAGAAAGATTAACCTTTTTTAAGATGATAATTAAAAATCAAAAATATTATCATGAATTGTTATTAATTCTGTTTGTCTTTATGCAGTTTATCTCAATGCTAGATATTTGCTATTTCAATGTCTTTGAATCATCCATCTGCCCCAACTCTCATCAACTCTCTCAACATATGAACTTGTACAGTAAATTCTCTCTGAATACAAATACCAAGAAACCTTGATAAACATTTTACTTAAAGTCTCAAACACAAGTTGGTAAAACTAACTGAAGCTAAGAATAAACTAAAATGAAGCTAAGATTTTTAATCTGTGACTGATTTTTTTTTTCACCAGACCCCAGAGATTATTAATATGGAATATTGAATATTAGAAATTCCATTAAGATGTTCAAACTTAAAGGTGGAGGATGTTCTTTTCATCAAAATAAGTGGTCCTCCTAATTGTCAATCATTCTGGTGATATGTTTACCTAAGGCCGTCCTATTTGCTCGTCCCCATTTTCACTTACCTATAGTGAGTCTGACATAGTGGAAAAACTGCACACCTTCTTATGGAAAGTAAGCTTGTATGTGCGTTGCAAACAGCAACTTTAAAACAGAGCATGCATGAGGAGAAATGGGCTTGTACACGCTCTCGCACGTGTTTAATAGAGGAGTGGGAGTGGGTAAAGGGTTGAGCAGGGTTGAGCATGTGCCTTTTTTCTTAAAAAATTGTGAAAATCTTCCACTATACCTTTAAGGCTCTAGACTGTTGGCTACGAAACAGACTACAAAACTCACAATCCTCATATGCTGCATAATTGTTTTTGTTTAATCTGCTATGTTGATATCTTGAACCACTGGCATACCTTCATTTTAAAACTCTCCAGTTTTTGGTCTGTCATTTTGTTTGGTTGGATTGATGCACAACTAATTAGACAGTTTTTTTTAAGGACCTTGTGTGTTTTACAGTGGGTAAAATGTGTGTTGAATTATATCAATGCTTTGACCTGTTGCCATTTTGGACAGGACACCATGGTAAAATAGATTCTTAATAAACTAGTGACAGAAAAAACACAGCATACTAATTATTGCATTTATTCTATACTAATTACTGGATACATTAGCTTGAGTAAAAATGTACAATATGTTGAAGTACTTATTGTGCAAAAGTTATACAATTTTGCTATTCTTTCCTTTATGAAGTAACAATAATAAGTTGATAATAGGTAGTTAAGTAGTCAGTCACATTAGCTTGAAAACTAACAGTAAATCAGTGCTACCTTTCACAGAGTGATGGGCGACCATGCAGAGTCAACATAATGACGACTAGAAATGTTTCCCTGCTGCTAAAAAGTCAAGAAGACCTGAACTGAAGTAGCTTTCTTCGGGCGTCTGATCCAGTGTGCTGCTGGGAAGGAACAGCACTGGGTTGTTCTGTGAGGCGTCCAACTTCCAACATTTTCTCTGGCATCACTTAAAGGATCTTTAAACGGTGGGAACTGTTAGTGAAACTTTTTTTTCTCAGTTTACATTTAAGCCAGAAATGATTTATACTCATAGCAGATTTTTGTTTGATGTAAGCTTTAATTTTTCTGACTGGAAATAAATTTGGGTTTTTTTAGAGGGGCCCAGCCAGAGCCCTTGCTTTAATCTGACATAGAATCTGTAGCAGGACCTAAAGATTAGGTTGATGGCACAGAGGTCTTCCAACTTTGACTTGGAGCTTGTCACCAAACTATCAAACCCCACTTGAAAAAGGCAGACAGCTACCTGGCTGTTACTTGAAGGGTTTGATTGCTAATTCTGATTTTCTATATTAATAAAAAAAAATGTTTTGAATAGATTAAAATCTGAGAATAATTGGTGCAGCGGTGGCTACCCATGTGCAGAAGCTTCAGTTCTGGACAGGTTTGAGTCTTGACCTGGTGACCTTTTCCGCATGTCTTCCACCTTTCTTTAATCCCATTTCCTGTTTGCAGAATTATGGAAAATCCCCAAAATGAATACCACTAGATCCTAAAGTAATTAACTTAAAAAAAAAAAAAATGAGACACATTTAATCTCTCGAAAACAACCTACTTAGTTTAATGAAAATAATTATGAACCAGACATTTTGGGCTTAACTGGGTCTTGATGCCGCTAACCATTCTGAACCCATTTCCCACTGCACTTTAAAAGTGTGTTTAGATTAATATAATGTGAAATAATGTGAGATGTGTAATGATGTCATTACAATGTCCTCTTCAACCACTTACCTCTTGCTTAGTCGTGCTAATTGGTTTCCACCCATTGCTGCTGTTAGGTTTACAAGTGCAATTTATTTTGCATGCCAGTGAAAACACAAAAAGCATTTGTTGTTTTTGAACCTCCCTCCCCCAGCTTCACTCTCATATTAAAGCATTCAAGTGTCAGCCTGTATATTTTATTGAAAAGCCTTGTTCCACCAACTTTTTGCATACAGCACTCACATCTGAAAGCACCAGACTGGAGCAAAGAAGATGTTGATCACGGGTACTTAGCAGTAAGTAAACATAATTGTTTCAGCATGGACTCCTGAATTATGTATAGGCGCCACCTATTCTCATGCCCGATGTCTTTCAGAGTGGTTGTGGGAATTTGAACATCCTTCACCACAGATGCACTCGAGCAGGCACGCATGTGTGATTATATGTGTGTATAAGCGCTTTTTTTTTCCAGTTAAGGCCCATAAAACCTATTATTCATTTATATCCTGGCACCTGGGTCTGGTAACGTGAACTCATCCCACACATCCCAACATACATTCCCAGAGGAACATAAAGAATGAGCCTCTTTAGGTTGCCTTGGCACACTGTCAGAATAGCGGCTTTGGATGGCCATTTGCATTCACGTGGGTTTTCTGAGAAAGCGAAAGCATTCAGTGCGCTACAGGGGGTTCACATTGACTCCTGTAGATTCCATTAGCATGTGATTACCATCTCGGGTTGATGGCTATATTTTCCAAGATTGATGGGGCAAATATTTGCCCAGGTCTTAACGGTGAAGAATTAGAGGCCTCTTTTAATCAGGCACTTGTATGTCTTCTAAATATGCAGAAGGATGAGAGGTTGCAGGGATTTCTTCCCCCTCAGGTCTCATTTCTCACAGTGGCAGTGCTGTGAATAATATCCCAGTAATGGAGAACTGAATTAGCAATCACTCTCTAGCCTATTTGTCTGCAATGATGATGCAAAGAAGACAATGGCGAGTTCACCTCTAATGTGAGCTTTATTTGTGTGCCTGTTGGGGGAGGGGGGTGGGGGTCAATGCAGAGAAAGGAGAAGGAAGTTGCACAAGAAGAAATGATGGTCCCTGATTGAACAAACAAGGTGCAGAACAGAGTGCACCACTTAGCTAAGACAGATGTTAGCCCCCTTCACATTGTGGGATCCGGCAGAGCCCTCCTGTGTCATTAAGGATGGCCTGGTTCCCATGGCGAGGGGAGAGGAAGGAGCAAAAGAAGGAAGGCTCGCTGCCAAGTTCAGCGCCTCGGGGATCAGATCAGCGTCACAGGGTGCTAAGTGGCCTAGTTAGCGCTTTAAGACGCACAAAGAGCTGCCTGCTCTTTCACTGTGTGTGTGTAAGCCTTTTAACCGTCAGACGTGGAGATGGCGGAGAGATGCATGGGATGGAACCCCTTGGATAAGATCACTTGCATCAAGGTGTATATTTTTGATGTACTATGGGGGCATTTTTTATGTAACTATGGGTTCATGCTAAAAAGAGAACAGTCATCATGCTGGACAACTGGATTCTTAAAACGGCTTTTCCTGCCTGTCCATTCTTGTTTAAATCTTTAAATCTAAGATTGGGTCCTCTAAACAGCTCTAAGCTACCTAAGCAGCTGAGCAGTGTTTGAGGACTGAGACTCTCTATCTCCTCCTCGGCCACCAAGAGCTCAGATAGAGTTATGATGCCATGGATGAGAGCGGACAGCAGATATGGCCCCAGCCTGCAGGGCAAAGCAGGGTTACGCCAGGATGAATACTTGCAAACATCACCGAAAACCTGTCAAATCACAAGCAAGATACCGTGTTCTCACCTGAATCCCACCAGGACAGGTCTTCTGCAGTAGGTGTCAGGCTCTTGGTGAGAGGTTGTCTGTTTCATGGCTAACATCTACCTCCCCTCTGATTTGGTGGTACATACTCACTGTGCAGTGTTAGCCTGGACCAGCTGGTCAGAGTTGGCTCTGCTAGAGATTGTGCCCCGGGGCTTAGCCTGCCAGCCTACTGCCATTCTGCCTGGCTGCCAGCCCACCTGCCAGGCTGTCTGCTGGGTGTTGGAGAGAACAAAGATAGGTATAGCCCTATAAACATCAAAGTTTGTCACTGGGTGAAACCCTGCTACAGTTAGCATTACAACTCTGCCAGTACAACACCAAAGGCTTGGAGAAAAAAAAGAGAGATAATATACACTCTACATACTTTTCTTAGTTGTGTGATTCAAATGTTTGCTGAATTAGCACTGGCAACTAGAGCAAAGCAGAAAAGTAGATACACAGTAAGTACTGTAGATCTGCATGTGTACATAACCCCCTCAGGCTCCAGGCATTTGGACAGAGAGCTTATTACTCTAGTTACATTTTTTTTTTCAGTAGATGAATACTGTATGTCTCAGTTTTATTTATCTTTGAGATATACAAGAAAGTCAGACTAAAAAGAAGCAGTCTTTTAAATAAGGTTGCAAATGATGCAGA